CTAGTGATAAGGAACCTTACTATATGTGTGTCTCTGTGTGTGTTATATGTAATAGAGTAAGGGCTGAGTGAGAAATCGGAAGGCAATAGCCAGTCCTACACAAAGGTTGTATTGTTGCACCAAAGCCATAATATATCAAATATTACAAACATTTCAGTAATATATATCAGATAGAACATTACTTGCATTATTTGTCTTATTACTTTTATTGGGTACAAATACATCAAGTTTGCCAATCTGTAGAAAGAAGACTGCAAAATCACCATGTCCCTACTTCTTTCCTTCAAGATAAAATACTTTCTCAACACACCTTCTCTCTGAAACCCTACCTTCTCAAGCATCCTTCGTGAATTGTGATCCCGCATTGTCCACGTCAACAAGAGCTTCAAGTCTATCCAAATGTGGCCACTCTTTGAATATAGCATCAGCCACCAATTTCACAGCCTGGGTCGCAATTCCCTTGCCCCAGTACTTGGACCCCAAAACGTATCCAAGTTCACCTCTGCACCGATTATTGCCCGAGAAAGGGGTCACAGAAATGGAACCGATTGGCATGTTGTCAAGGCAGATTGCCCTTAACCAAGGGTGTGGGATGACTATAAGATATATTCTGAAATCACAACAACAAGATATTAGGATCACGAATAAATCAAATCAATATAAAATAGAGGTTGACTAATTATATTAAACTTATATGTAGAATACGGAACACATGGTTATGAAGATGAAGCCATTGATCCTTACAACAAAGTAGAAGTAGTCTTCTACTTCCAGTACCTCTCAATGAACTTTACTATCGAAATAGACTTGTAGTTTTCGTGAGTTTCATTTGGTATGGAAGCAAGGACTGCTCCTTGGTTATATAGCTAGGGTTTCAACCAATTCCTCCCTATTATCGGAAAGGATATCAACCCAAATCATATCTAATCAATTAGAGTCCCTTCATGACTCTTATTCCTTGTATTTACTTAATAAAGGTCCATAATTGATTGCATGTAATTAGGACTCTAATATGTTTATTTCCTTAAAGCACCAAGAGTCCTAGAGATTTCATTAACTTGATTGCCAAGTCAACTATTCCCTCAATTATTCTGAGCATAATTCATTGCCATTCATGATTTTACATTCTCCCACTTGAAAGTCAATGAGAATACCTCAATGAGATAAATAAATATGGTGATCACTTGAGCCCACTAAAGTATGTAATCATACATTTCAAGTAACTTGTCACTTTGAGACTAAATGTAGAACAAAGGAAAACAAGGCACACATTGGACAGTTCCTTGCACTCCCTGATTACATGTACACTTAACTCAAAGCACTATGTTACTAACAAAGTCATGATATCAAGAGCTAATAGTCAAAACATTAGCTCACAATAGTTGAACTGAAAATATGAAAATATATTTCACTACAAAAGTAGTTCACAAAAGAACTCAACAAGGTTGGTAACAAAATCCAACTTTTCTGTCAATTTAGAATATAATAAGAGAATAAGTAAAATACGACATACTGTTTACAAAATCAGGACCTCTTATTAAAACTTATGAACAAAATTTATACAAAATTTACTCTTAAAGTATCAGCTACTAACACTTCAATTTTTTAACACAAAATGTAATCTCTTACTCCCACTGATTAATAGAGACAAAATTATATATAGATATTATTACTCCCACTGATTAAGGGAGTATAAAAAAAAACTTTGTAAATGTCTACAAAATGAAACAGATACCTTTCAAATACTCCCATTAGCAAAACGTTAGTCATGGGATCTAGAACATAAAATTTGTGAGCTCAACATATTTATGCTAGATATTTGTAGGGAAGTGACTCTTGCGATTGAAAAACTATACAAAATCATTTGGTCAGTTTTGTTCATCTTGTGGAGCCAAAAATAATCACAAGGCGACACGTGGATTTTTGGACAAAAAAGGACAAAAATACCCTGAGGTACAACGGGATTCCTATGCGCGAGCAGCGGACAGTCATCTCTCAGCCAAGTCAAAAGTGCCCAAAAAGGTAACAATTCAAAAACCATCTCATCAAATCCCTCTTATAAGGTAATTCCCAAAACCTACCTCATTCCATATATATTTACCTCTTTCCATATATATTTACCTCTTTCTTGCCTTCTTTTATCTAATTAATTAAGTTATCATTACATAACCTCCCAAAACCTCCCAAAAAATTTCTTTTATTATGATAATTAGCCAATTAATATATTTATATCTAATTAATATATTAATTGCTAATTGAATCACCAAATAACATCCCAAAAAACACTTAAAGGCCGGCCACCTTTCTCCAAAGGGGACCGGCCACACTCCCCTATAAAAGCCCTATTCTCTTCTCCAAAAGAGGGTGGTCATTCTCTTGCTAAAATTCTCCAAAATTCTCAAACACTTTCTCTCTAAATTCTAACTTTGACATCAGAGGTTCTTATGCCAAAGCCCCCCCATTCATCGTGGGTGCGTGAGGCTCTTGGTCTTGACCTAAGGTGTAAATTGTTTTGTAGGTGCAATCTTGTCCAAGATCAAGGAGGAAGAAATTTGCATCCACACATCTAACATTTGACAGAAATAGAAAACTTTAACTAAATGTTTTCTTATTGCATCAAAAGTATATAATTCCATAATCATCTTTGGACAGAAACTAATTATATTAGGTTTGCATAGCTAAAACATAAAATACAAGGGCAAACGTATATAGCTTCAACACTTTTGAGCAGATGAAATATATACAATTGTCAATTCCATGCTTCATTATACATTGATTTATAGTTGTACTGAATAAGAAAACACTTTTGAGCAGATTAATTATTCATCAATAACATATAAATCACAAGTCCAATTTCTTGAACAACAAACAAGAATTAATAAGCAAAACACTTTTGAGCAAAATATACTCATTAACCATTCTTGAATTTCCTGCAAGATTAGATGCATATATAACAAATAAAATATAAACAAGTATGATAATGTACGTTTTATCCACCAAAACTATGACCATTAAAAGCATGCAAAATTGATGAGAGTGAAGCCCATAATACATTATTTCTCCCACTTGGGCAAACACTCAAAATTGCAAGATTAAACACTAGAGAAAGTGGTTTTCATATAACAAAATATAGACTAGTTGAATCAATAAAGATCAAATACATAATTTTTTTTAAAGTAGGTTAGAATTAAAAAGTTCCATAAATAAAAACTTATGCAATGACTACAAATTTTATTTTAGTGTATGAGAGAAGACTCACATATGCGTTAAAGATTAGGTCAAAAATTAAAATGAGCCGTTTTCCGGTCAAAACATGGCGAGTTAGCCGTCGATAAAGGTACCATTCTCTTTGTCTAGTCGAGAAGTATGATTTTTGTTTTTGAATCACTTGATTTCGTTGAGTATTGAAGAAGTTATGAACGTTTAAAGTTTACCTAGTTTCCGATGAGTTTTCAAGTTTTCACTTGAACCAGTCAACTTTGAGGCTATTTTCCAGCAATCTCCAGCAACCATTAGGCTTCGAAATATGTATAATCTTATTCTACACTTTCCTATCTTCATTTTGATATATTATGGGTCGAATTTGGTTAAGAAACGATTGAGTTACGAAGCCTTGAAAATTGCCCAAACTTCTTGCCAAGAGCTTCGGGACACTTAACGGAAGAACCAAAATGATGGATGGTGGACAATTTCAGGACCACTTTTATCGATTTGGAATCTCAAGGACCAAAGTGATGAGTTATGCAAATCTCAGGGACCATTTTGGCGATTTACCCTATTATTAATCTCTTTGTAAAATATCATCTCTACAAAAAAATAAATTACAACTAAGGTTGTTTAGTAATTCCATTGTAGTAAATAGATATTGATGGTTCTTAATGCTTTTACCGAATCCGTCCATCTATTGTTATGCAATTCGATAACTAAACAATTTCATATTTTGTCAATTTTTTGCACAGATGATCTTTACATAGTGTTTTATAATATGAACGTTTTGATCACAAGCATGAAATCCCCTAAATCGGTTATGTAGTGAATTGAGGAGGAGCTTCTCCTCATCTATTAAGAAGGAATTCCTCCTCATCTATTGTGGAACCAACTTAATTACTTTTTTATTACGTCGCCCTTGTGCAACTGGACTAATTGGTTATATTTTTTTTGTGAAAGAACTGTCAACTGTATGACTACGTTAGCATGTTTGGTACAACTGCGTTTGAAATTTGGGTGTAAGAGAGACACAATGTCTTAAGGAACTAGCCGAATAGTAATGGATATTGCTATTCACATATTTATTTTTACTTCCTACACACTTTTATTAAATTTTTGTCATTTATCTTCTTCAATTCATTCAATCCGTTTTGCAAAAAATTGATAGAAGTGTGTGAAAAGTAAAAATGGGTGTATGGGATATGGATGGCACTACCCTAATAATTAACATCTGCAACATGAAAATAATTTTAACATCGACTAAAAGACGAACTCCAGCCTTTCTCTTAATTTGAGATGAGATTGGCCAAACTTTTGCTGAGTGAAATGCAATGTTAAGAGACGATAACAGTCTTACCATACTAGTAGTGGTGGTAATATGACTTGCGGAATGGAAAGGTTGATGTTCAGAGGAGTTTGGTAAGAACGTTGAGTACTAAGCATTTTATTTTTTTATATATGTACAACAATATTTTACTCTACGAGATGTAAATTAAGCTAAGTCACACAATAAGTCAATCATAATTAAGGGACTCAATACAAATATTATACGTTATCTTCATGCATCCATTTGAGTCAGACTGAAACTTTTACCTACAAATAAAAAATAATATTATTCAACTATAGTACTAGTTAGTAAAGCATCTCCTGTTTTGAATTCAAAGAATAGCATTTCACAATTTGTGAATGGTTGGTTTGCCTACCATCAGTGAACATTTCACACTTTCTTTTGTTGTCAAGATCCAAATACCGAACCCATAAAATAAATAAATAAATAAAAACATTAATCTATTTGTTATGGAAATTTGCTATCCAATCAATACAGAAACTAGAAAACTCATCACAATTGATTATTTTTAGTACCATCTCTTGTAACCATCACAAACGGAAATGGAAAGCCAATCTTTGGAAATCACACTACGTCCTTATAGGCTCTCAGATGCTGAGGACTTCTTGAAGTATACCGAGGATGAAAAGGTAACACAATTCACTCGTTGGAACACCTTCAAATCCAAGAAGGAAGCACTTTCCTACATCAAGGATGTTTGAATTCCTCAACCTTATTGCAGGTCCGTCTGCATCAATGACTGTTCGATCGGAATGGTCTTCGTCAAGCCACAAGGTGGTGATGACAGTGTCGAGCGGAGATCGGGTATGCGTTAGCAGCCGAGTACTGGGGACAAGGCATAGTAATCAGAGCTGTGAAGATGGCCATCACTGAAGGGTTTAAAGAGTTCACTGATTTGGTTAGAATGCAAGCTTTGATTTTGATAGAGAACAAGGCCTCCCAGAGAGTCTTGGAGAAACTTGGTTTCCACATGGAAGGTCTCTTGAGGGAGTATACCATTCACAAAGGTACAGTTAAAGATGTTTTCATGTATAGTCTTCTACCCACTGATCTTATGCCTTGAACGTGACCATTTTATTTCTGTAAATCTGGATTTAAACCAGTTGAAAAATACTTTTTACTATATTTATTGCTAGGCAATTTATTAAGTGAGAATTTTCCTGTTACATGATAGGTATAATAATAAGTATCGTTTAGTTAAAACATAAGCATGTGTTACATCTTACCATTTTTTTTTTTAAATTTAAACTCTCTACACATGTTATGTTTTAACTGGTCAGTTGTTTTTGTCACAGGGACACATATCGTTAGGTTTTATCTAATAATTGACTAGTTGCAGATGGTGATGCTAGTGACCAATTTGTCTACTAGTAGCACCACTAGGCAAGTTCATTGAATCCAAATCTATTATTTGAATAGATTTTGGATCACACATAATCGTATGGCTGACTACTTTATACCCCCTATTTATATATCCCAATTGAGCTTGGAACCATCTCAAACTTCCTCAAAGTTATGGAGTCCTCAAGAATTTCACTGCGTCCCTTCAAAGTCTCCGATGCCGATGACTTCTTGAAATGGGCGAGTGATGACAAAGTGACGCGCTATTTGAGATGGAACACCATAACCTCTAGGGAAGAAGCCTTGGCATACATTGAGAAGGTTGCTATACCACACCCATGGCGCCAGTCCATATGTCTGGATGACCATTCGATTGGATATGTTTCGGTCAAACCCGAACCGGGCGATGACACGTGTAGAGCCCATGTTAGCTATGCCGTGTCTGCAGAATACTGGGGACAAGGGATTGCCAAACAGGCACTGAGGATGGCCATGTCTAGAGTGTACAAAGAGTTCCCATGTTTGGTGAGGGTTGAGGCTTTGGTGGAGGTTGAGAATAAGGGTTCCCAAATGGTTTTAGAGAAAGTTGGGTTTGTGAAAGAAGGTTTGTTAAGGAAGTATGGTTATTGTAAAGGTGAGATTAGAGACATGTTTATCTACAGCTTCTTATCAACTGATAAGATTATGTGATTCATCTGTTCAAATTTTCTTAGAACATCTCTTAATGGTTTGGTTTCTTACTTTGAGGAACACTGTGTTGCATTAAGAATCTTCTTGCATTTATTGTGATGAGTCAAACTAATAACTGAATCAACTTCCTGAAAAACAACAACCAACGAACTGAATCAACCCATATTAAGTGTAGTGATAAATGACCAACCATACCCGTTTTTAGTTTAAAAAAAAAAAAAAAACTTGTGGCTCGAGTGGTTAACAATTTTCACCTTAGCACCCAAGGTCCTTTGTTCAAATCATCCATCTCTCAATATCAGTTGTAGTTGTATAATACATATATGTTAAATCTATTATTATCATGAAATTTATATTTGATGAGGGAATAAATGAAGTGTTAATGTAATTTTATAAGTTAAGGGAGAGGCTTTGATTTCTTTCATGGTATGTACAACTGAGTGTTTTGAAATATCAACGATTATATTTTATATATGGTGATGTAATAGATACTTGCAATGGTTATATCTTGCATGAAACCCGTTCCACTGAGTGAGATGTAGCATTTCATTCAGACCTTAACATACGACTAAATTACTTGAGATAATAATGTATCCTTTTACAAGACTGAATCATTGAAGTTATCATCACAATTCATATGTGTTAATCAAGAAGAATGATAAGCTTGAATGCAGAAATTCTAGAAAGAGAAGGAGAGGATTTGAGAGAAGCTGAGAGAGAGAGAAATTGTATCTTGTTATTTATTTTCTTAGCTTCTAAGCTATTACATCATAAGGGTATATATACAAGAATCTTCACATCTCCACATCTCAACTATCATAACTAACTTTTCTAATCTCATTACAAGTGTCACAATCCTATCCATCAATTTACTTCATGTATTATCTCTATCATCCCCTCTCAAACTCATGCATGGTGAGGCACCAAGAATGAGATTGATGAAGTGAGTTTTAAAGAGAGAAGCACTAAGCCCTTTTGTGAGAATGTCTACGAACTGTTCCCGAGAAGACACAAACTGCACAAATAGGCACTTTTGAGCAATCCGTTCTCTAATGAAATGAACATCACCCTCAATGTGCTTGGTCTTTTGATGTTGAATCAGATTAAAAGAGAGAGCAATGGCTGACAAATTGTCACAAAAAAGCACAGGAGCTGAAACCACTTTAACCTGTAAAAAATGGAGAAGTTATTGAATCCAATCACGTTCAGTTGCAGTGGATGACATAGCTCGATATCCTGCTCCTGTAGACGATCGAGAAACAGTTTGTTGTTTCTTGGAGGACCATGATATTGGATTAGAGCCCAAGAAAACAACTAAGCCAGTTGTAGACCTTCCATCATTCGGATCTCCTGCCCAATCTGCATCACTAAAGGATTTTAAACAAACTTCACCAGCATCATTAGTGAGTCAAGAAGTTATGGTGCATTTCAAATAACGCAAAATGCGTTTAACAGCAGCAAAATGGGAAAGATAGGCTGTTGCATGAACTGAGACACTTGATGAACTACGAATGAAATATATGGACAAGTAAAAGTAAGATATTATAGCGCACCAACTATACTGTGATATGTCTGAGCATCTGGAAATGGAACCCCATCATCTTTCAATAACCGATTATATGGCAAGCATGGAGTGTCACATGGTTTACACTCACTCATTTATGTCTTGTTGAGTAAATCTTAAATGTATTTAGTTTGTGACAGAAACAAACCAGTAGGTGTGTAAGATATTTGAATGCCCAAAAAATAATTGAGTGGTCCTAAATCCTTGATCTCAAACTCAGTAAGGAGAGAATCAATTACCTATTGAATGGAACCTGAGGCACTTCCAGTTAAGATTATATCGTCAACATAGAGGAGGAGAACCATAACATCGGAACCAACATACTTCACAAAGAGAAAAGAGTCTAAATATGTAGATTGAAACCCCAGAGAAGGAAGAAAAGTTGTGAATCTTTCATTCCGAGCATGTGGTGCTTGTTTTAAGCCATACAAAGACTTATGAAGCTTACAAACCAGATGAGGATACTTGGGATCTTCAAATCCAGGTGGTTGAGCCATATAAACTTCTTCCTATAATATACCATGGAGAAATGCATTTTTAACGTCGAGTTGCCTTAAAGGCCAGTGAAACTGAGCAGCTAATGCCAAAACTAATCTCACTATGGTAGGCTTTACAATAGGACTAAAAGTCTTTCCATAGTCCAATCCTTCTTCTTGACTGAACCCCTTTGCAACCAATCGAGCTTTGTGCCCCGCAACACTACCATCATCATTTTTCTTGATCTTAAACACCCATTTACACCCCACTAAGTTCTTTTGAGATTGAAGAGGAACAAGAGACCAAGTATCCTGAGAATGAAGAGCCTCAATTTCCTCTTTCATAGCATTCATCCACATAGCAGATTTCATAGCAGTCTTATAGGTGGTTGGCTTAGTAAGAGACATGTCAACCTCACCGGATGTCTCTAAAGTACTATCACTTTTACTTCGAGTTTGCATGAGATGCATGTTTAATGGTGCAATAGGTAATACCACTTGCAAACGATTAAGACTAAATTCAGGATCCACAGGGAGTTGAATGGGATCATGTACTGTTACAGTAATGGATTGAGAAGTAGGAGATGGTAAGGGTGAAAGTGAGACATCAGGTGTTGAAACAACATGTGCTAGGACATCTGGTGATGGAGGGTTAAACGAAGTTGGAGTTGGGATATCAGAAGTATGAGAATAGGAGAGATAATGAGACATAGGTACAACTAGTATATTATTAGCATTTGGTACTGGTGTAAGACAAGGAGATGATGGTGATAAATTTGATGGTGATGGTAAGATAGATGGGTGACTAGATTGTGTTTTTAGTTTAAGTAAGCTGAGATAAGGAAACTCAGTTTCATCGAAAACAACATGCCTAGAGACAAAGAATTTTCCTTTTTGTACTTTATAGCATATGTAACCCTTATATTTAGATACATATATGAGAAAAACACACTTGGTTGTTCTAGCTTGAAGTTTGGTAGAGTTATATGGTCGAAGTAAAGGATAATAGGAACATCCAAATACCCTAAGGTGACTAATAACTGGTTGACTTCCATAGAGGACTTGAAAGGGTGATTGGTTTTGTAATACTGAGGTAGGCATCCTATTAATCAAGTAGATGGCTATTTGACAAGAAAAGGTCCAAAACTGAGAAGGAAGGTTAGCATACTGTAACAATGTGACAGTAGTTTCAATAATATGTGTATGTTTCCTTTCAGCCAACCCATTTTGTTCAGTTGTATAGAGACAAGATTTATGATGCACAATTCCCTTAGATTTAAGAAATGTATGAAACTTATGACTAATGTGTTCACCTCCCTCATCACTCTGCAAGGTTTTTACAGTAGTTGAAAATTGAGTGGAAACAAATGCACATAAAGTGACAAACACATCATAAAAGTCTAACTTGTGAGATAAGAGAAATAGCCAACAAAACTGAGTGTATTCATCAATAAGGGTAACATAGTATTTATAACTGTTTGTACCATACTTAGGGCCTCCGTATTTAGACCTCGTATAAATACTCGAGGGACTCAAATGTAATTATGTAATAAATGAAGGGGCAAATATGTAATAAGTGAGGAGCCCTTATTCTATAAAAGGGACTCCTCACCTTCACAATGGAGAGAGCTCTGACCCTCACAATCTTCTCACAAACAAAGAAATACAATATCAGTGTGGACGTAGCCCAAACATTGGGGTGAACCACGATAAATCTTGTGTTCTTTACTTTCTTGCAGATTCACGGTCGGATTTACGTTGTTCCAAGACCCATCCAGTTTTGTGCATTAACATTTGACGCCGTCTGTGGGAATCGACACGAAAAGCTATGTCGGTTCTCTTTCAATTTTTCACCTCCGCCGTGAATCTGCAAAGACCAAACGAAACCCAAAGCTTTCCCAGAAAACCCAACGGTTCATTCTCTATCTCTCTGCATACAGCCTCCTCACCAAACACCTTCTTTCTCTCTCTTACTTTTTTCTTTCTCTCTCTAGAAATTCCAGTTTTCTCTTCAGACAGTAAGAGAGAAGAAAGAAGAGGAGGAGAGAGAGACAATAACAATGGCTATCCCCCTAACAACCATAAAAATTTCAGATCTCCGTACCCTTGATGGCTCGCCACATTTTCCCGAGAGGTGGAGAGCTTCCAGCAAATAACCAACTCATTCATGGCAGCGCCAGCTCGCGCCTTTGTTTTCTCCCGCGTCGCTGACTTCTCTCTCAAGCCATCCCAACCGCCGCCATGCCAATCTAAAGCTTCAATCGGTACATTTTTGAGTACGATGCGGGTCACCCGTTCGGGTCCGGCGTCGGGTTCAAGAAGAAGGACACCCCCAAGTTTATCTGCCTCTCTCTGCTCGAATGAGGGGTTTGCCGCCCCAGCTCGCCCTGCAACCTTCACTCTCGATGAAACCCTAATCTTTAATTAATTTTGATTACCCAGCTTCTTCTTAATCTTCAAGATTTTAAGAAATTAATCAAGCAATGGCTTCAGACGAAGACGATTTCGTGTTTTACGGAACACCGATTGAGCGGGAGGAAGAGTTCACCAATCGTAAAAAGAAGTCCGTTGCCGAGATCTCCGGTAACTTGCATACTCTCGTTCCTTGGAAGCAAGAGGTTAGAGATGAAAAAAGGAGAATAAGATTTCATGGTGCATTTAATGGAGGTTTTTCAGTTGGCTATTACAATACAGTCGGCTCAAAAGAAGGATGGACACCGCAAACCTTTGTCATCGCAGAAGAACAGAGCTAAAGATTAAGATCACAAAGAAGCAGTGGGAAAAGTTGTTGGGAAAGGTGAAGTTTAAGCAAACGTCAGTTGAACAGGTTTTGGCTCAGTTGATTAGGGTTAGTGATGGCTATGAAACCCAATTGCAAAGGTCATGGAAGCCTTTTTTTCAAAGCATTCTTGAGGTCAATTAATTTTTCCTTTTGTATTAATTATGTGGTTTTTGTTAACATAAATGTTCCAAAAGGAATATCAAAGGGGGGATGTGGGTTGTCGAATCAGTGAGGACTTTA